AAAAAACCACAAAAGGCAAAGAGAAAACTACTTCTGGGACATGCAAAACGCGGAGTCCACAGCCTGCTCCCCTGCGCACCCCTATTTACCAGGGGGTTCCTGCCCACTTCACAGGGCATCAGCGCCTCCTGGCCAAGGAGCGGCCAGGACTTACACAGGGAAACGGAGCACTGCCGGATGGGGCAAAATGACAGGGACGAGGGCGACCTGCTTTACGCCCACTGCTGCTTCCTGCCACACCCAGCCTTCCTCCAGCTGTTTTCCTCTGGGCTTCCGCAGCTTTTCATTTAAAAAATGAGTTTGAGGGGCTGGGGATTTAGCTCAGCACGTAAGCATCTGCCTTGTAAGCAGGCAGTCATGACTTCGATTCCTGGTACCGATAAAAAGGAAAAAGATAAAAAAAAAAAAAATGAGCTTGATGCCATGGGCCCCATGGGTCCCTCAAGAATGGATAATGGAGGTGGCGGGGCTGTGGCTCCCCAACCCGCACCACCCTGCACCTGGATTTCAACCCCACAGGCTCTGACAAGAGGTGCAGGAAGAGCTGCCCTGGCAGTCCAGGCCCGGGCCCGGGGTATACAGCAGGCGCCACTGCTGTGCTGGGTGTGGACAGGGGAGGGAGGGCAGTGAGGACACTTTCATCCCAAGGGACAACAGACTTTTCTGGTGCTGAGTTTCAGGAAGGCTTCAGGCAAAGGGCTCTGTGTCCAGCACAGGAAAGGGCCAAGAAAGCTGAGGCCACTGCAGAGACTCAGAGGGCTGGAACGCTGAGGCAGGAGAGTTAAAAGTTAGAGCCCAGCCAGGACACCTAGTGAGACTAGTGAGATTGTCTTTAAATAAAAAATAAACAGTTGAGGATGTAACTCAGTGCAAAAGCCCTGGGTTCAGTCCCCAGTAGTTAAAAACAAATCCCTGAATTATGATAGTGGTTGCACAACTCAAAAATCACTAACCTGTACATTTTAAAAAATTTATTTGGCTTGTGGCAGGATCTCACTATGTAGCCACACTGCTCTTGAACTTGTAGCAATTCTCCTGCCTCAGCCTTCTGAGTGCTAAGATTACAGGCATGCGCCACTTCACCAGACAGAACTGGACAGTAAGAATGTATACATTTTATATGAATTACTGCATATCTTTTTTTTTTCCGGTACCGGGGATGAACTCACAACCTCGTACTTGCCAGGCAGGCACTTTGCATATCTTGATATAAAAGGGGAAGATGTTGGATCCTGCAGGTAAAGGAAGATATTGAGAGGGGAACCATGCACCACACAGCCTTCTTCCTCCTTCAGGGTCCTGGTGACCTTGAACTTGGAGCCCTTAGTCGGGTCAACAGCCCAGAAGCCCATTACTATCAGGGTACACGTGGTGCTGGACAGCCCCTCCAATCTCAGTCTCCTGGCTTCCAGCCAACTTGGGTTGGCCCTCAAGCGCTGGAAAAATCAATTATAGTAGCACCCAGAAAACACAGCTGCCCAGTTAGCAGTGTTGGGGGTGCAGTAAGTTGTTTGGCTTGGGTTTGGTTTTTTGAGATAGGGTCTCACTATGGAGCTCAGACTATCCCTGAGGGTGGCCTCAAACTTGCAGTGATCCTCCTGCCTCAGCTTCCCCAGTGCTGGGATGACAGGTGTATGCCATCATACCCAGCCTAGGCTTATTTAGATAAAGAAAAAACAGCCTCAAGAAGACCCCTCACCTTAGTTATGCTCCAAAAAATGCAGAAATGTGAAGCTCTACCTCTGACATTCAATTTTACTTAAAAAGATGTAGCCCAGGCAGGGTGCTCTAAGGATTTACTGTGCTTCCAAGATGATAAAAAGGAAAAAAATTCTTCAGACTTGCACCTTGCTCAGCAGCACCTAAGAAATGCTCTGCCTGGGCTGGGGGTGAGGCTTAGTGTCCCTTCCCGTCCTCCTCTAGGAATGTCCCACTTGTCACATTGTGTTGATTTCCTGAATTTTTATGACAACTTGTTTTACTTTTGTGTTGTTGTGTTAAAAAGTGCATTGAAAGAAACATCCCCGCGTCAGGCAAGTGGCACTAAGACAGCCCCTAAACCCATCCAAGCATCTCTACCATTATCTCTGGCATCTCAATTAGAAACTCAACCCAAACACAAAAGAACACGAGGCTTACAAGATGCACAGTCTTACTGAAGAAACCAAGTAAGACGGAGAACGCCTGTACATGGTAGTGCATGCATGTTATCCCACCACTTGGGAGGCTGAGGCAAGAGGATCACCATAGGTTTGAGGTCAATGTGGGCTACATGAACTATAAATTGAGACCCTGTCTAAAAAAAGTAAAACGGGTTTCAAGAGAACAGAAAGCCCTCAAAGTAAAGCATAATTAAAATCTCCAAGTGTCAGCTCACCCTTAGCTCCAAATGCACCCCCTCTCAGCACGATGACGTCAGGGGCTAACATCCTGATAAAATGTGCAGAATCGCCATTCGAGCCTGAGCTGGACTCATAAATTCTAAATATCCTCCCACAGCAAACAAGCACAATCGGGAACTTGCTGGAAAAACAAACCATACTCCTCCCTGAGCCCAATCTAGATAAAACTCAAGCTGCCCAGTCATTTAATGGTCAAGGCCAAAGTGAGTCTAGGGCCCTGCTAGTGACCGCCCTGGACAATCACTGGGACAGTGAGCGTGGTGACCTGAGGTCTGGGGTGAGTCAGAGGTGGATGCAGGGAATCTTGTGGAGAGGGTGACACCACAAATGGTAGGGGGACAGCATGGCCCCCGAGGCAGCCAGCAGGGTACTGGACAAGCACAATCCAAAAGGAGAAGGCTCGGGCATGCAGAGCTGCACCGGGAAGCTCGCCGGGAGTGCAGGCAGGGATGGAGCCAGGGGAGTACCAGGCTCTGGGTGCTCTGCACCAAAGGGAGCCTAGGCTTCTCCTGCCATGGCTTGGTTTTCGAATTCTGCGCCACTTTGGGGGCCAGAAATGGAGCGGGAAGTCCATTCTGAAGCATGGTTTTCTATCTCTTGGAGCCTCTCTCTGGGAGGGCTTTGAGGAAGGCACCGCTGACTGGCTGCTCTCTGGGCAGATCCCTTTTCTTGGGGGGGGGGGGGTTCACTTGCTTTGTTTTCTCCAGTTGCCTGCCGGGTATCTGATTCCCAAAGCCACCTCTCCCTCCTGAGTGGTTCTGACACACAGACAGTGCAGAGAAGCAGAGGGAGGGGCCGGGCTCCGGGTGGCACCACAGCCCACGGCCAGGAGAAGCAGGGCTCCTGCGCCTTCCCTCCCTCCGGCGCGTGATCCAATAAAACCTCAAGAGTGCAGTAATTACAGGCACTTTCAAAAGTGAAACAGAAATAGACCGAGGGCCAAACACAGGTTGGCTGGAGACAAAGGGCCGGCTTCAGCCAGCGAAAAGACCAAAACAAAACAGCTTTACAGTCTGTCTCCCGAGCTTCCAAAGCCAGACTGGTTTTAGAAAAAAACAAAAACAAAAACAAATCGAATCTGATGAGGGGAGAGAGGAGGATTTGAACTCGAAGCCCTTACCTCCTGGAAGGCACAAAATCACCGATGAAACAGAACACAGGTTACATTAGAAGTAAGCTTGACACCAAATCTTGGTGCGATCAGCCTGACTTCCCCGACTACGGAGTCTGGCGCTGCTCAGGGAAACGCGTCCTACACCCGGGCGCCGGGGCCTGGCAGTCCCTCCCAGCCGCTCCACTCCAAGGCTCCATTTTGAGTGCTCCGAGCACTGCAGGGTCTGTCACTGCCCAGCCCCTCTCTGCCACCCGGAAGGGTCCCAGAGGAAGGAACCAGTGCAAAGGAGGGAAGGGGATGCCTGACAGCAGGGACTGGCAGCTGGGATTTGCCTTGTGGATGCTCAGCAGACGCCCAGGTGAGCTCTCGCGGCTCCGGCTAAGAGCAGCGTGCACCAGCCCGGACCACCAGTGCTGCCGCTGGTCAGTCCCCAGGGGAACACGTCTGTAAACGGAGTCAGACCAGAAGGACGGGTCTCGTGCTGATCCTGGTTGACGCACGAGGCTGATGCCAGGGCGAGGTCTGCTGCTGCCCAGCAGGTGCCCAGCGCAGGACTCTGTGTCCTTGTAGACACCCTTCTGAGCAACAACGGGATGACCTCCGGGTGACCACGCCGAGAGCCCCAGATCCGTGCCTGCCTGCCGGGAGCACCACTTGCATAGGCGAAGCGTAGTCCCTGGGGACTAGGCACTTGTTGAACGAAACGTAACGCGACTTGCAGTCGCTGCCTTCCAGCCAGGAGAGGGACCCCCAACACGGGGCGCGGGAGCCTCTGGCTGGAAATGGGCAGACGCCCCGCGCTCCCGCGCACCCCGAGGCCCAGCACACACAACCCCGGTGAAGCCGAGCAAGCAGCGCGGCGGAAACTTTCGCGAACCTGCGGCTTCGCGTTAAGTTGGGACCGGGAGAAAGGCGCTGAGCACGATGTAGGGGTGGTGGGGGTGGTGAGAGCCTCGCCCACAATCAAAAGGAATTCTAAAAAGAGAATCCAACACACGCAGCACCTACTACGTGGTAGGCACCGTGCCAAGGACGGCTTCGCGCGTTCCCGTCCCAATGTCACCAGAGCCCTCAGGGGGCAGCTTCGCCGGGTGCAGAGACGCAAACCGCGATCAGGAGGGTGGCGCGTCCGGCCGGGGCGCGGGAGGCCGGGACTCGGTTCAGTCCCCTTGCCCCAGAGGAGGCGCCGAACGCTGGGCGCCGGCCCACGTGGGCCTCACGGACCGAGCCCCGGGCGCGAGCTCCGCACTGCACCGCGCGGCAGGGACCCGGGGGCTCCGGCCGCCCCCGCACCCGCTCTGCGCACAGCGACGCCTCCGGCTCCCGCCGGCCCGGCCCCCGCCGCAGCGCTGCACAAACGCAGTTCGAATGTGCGGCCCCACGGCGCGCACACCGGCCCCGCGAGGACGCACCAGCCCCGCCACGCCGCTCAGGGCGCCCCCGCCACGCGCGCCCGCCGAACCAAGCCCGCAGCCCTTCCGTACCGGTCCGGGGCAGGACGCGCTCCGCGGATGGCTACCCGAGGCCCGAGAGGCGGCTAGGAGCGCGGGCGTCCGTGCGCCCGCAGGCTCCACACGGGTCTTACGCTCATCGCCGCCTGGACAGACAAAAGGAAGCCGGAGGCCGGGCAGCCAGCGCGGTGTGGGCGCCCCGGCCCGCCGATCCTCGGTCCGCCGCCGTCGCCTGCCCGCCCGGGAAGGAAGGGATGAGGAGGCGGGGCTGGGGGCGGGCATGGGCGGGGCGCGCGGCGGGGGCGGGGCGCCAGCTTCCTGCGGGACCGCCCCCGCCCCGCCACGCCCCCTCTTGGTCACACCCTTAGGCGACGAGACGGTCACGCCCCTGCGTGGCCCCGCCCTGACCACGCCCCCTGGTGGACCTAGGGTCCCCACCGTCTTTGCTACCCGCGGCTGTTCAGTCCTCTCTCTGCACTACGGAGTGTCCCCGAGTCCCGTTTGGGGGACGGGACAGGGGTGGAATCGAGCGCCTGTCCCGCCTCCCTAACCTTTGGCCTCTGGTCTGCGGGTTCAGGAGAGGCCGAGAGGCGGCGTCCGGGAGGGGCCGGCCTGGCAGGAAGTTCGGCCAGGGTGGCCCGGGAAAGGGAAGAAGCCACGTCGCCCCAGGCACTCAGGGGCCCCGCTGGGCCGCCCCGGAGGCCTACGTCCCCTCCACCCCTGTTCCTGAGCAGCTGCCACCCAATCCCGCGCCTGCATGGGGCACAGAGCCTAGCCCGGGCAGTGACCTGGTTTCCACTCTGGTGCCCTCCGCCACCTCCCTGGACGCCCTCTGCCTCAGTTTCCCCTCCTGTGCGGTGGACGGCGGGAAGGGGGCTGGCTTCTCCCGGCCCTCCCTCCCATAGGTATGGGAAACTTAAGTCTCCTGGTGGGGGAAGGAACTTGGTGGCCTCTTGGTGACCAGGGGAGGGTGGCCTTCTGGGTGTGTCCTGCGGGCTCCTAGAAGCCCTGCCCATGTACCCGCGGTGACCACCCTCCCTGCTGGTCCCCACAGACAGGTAACCACAGAAACAGCCGTGCGTGTGGAGCCGGCACCCCTGTTGTGCTGAGAAAGAACCGTCTTTCCAGCGTCTCTAGGGAGAAACCCCAATCCCTCTTTCAAATCCTCCAGCACAAAAAGATCCGTGAGCACGTGAACTCCCGCTGTACACGGGGCTGCCGCACTTTAGGTGGCGGTGGCTAAGCAGCTGATCCCCGCCTCCAGCTTCCTGACCCCTCCGTCCCTCCCTGTCTCCTGAGGGCATGATAGCAAAACCAAAACCACCGGAAGTTGTCTCCTGGCTGGCCCTGCGGTGAGGAACAAATGAAATAATGCCTGAGAGGGTTAGCAGCGTCCTGCTGTTGCTTCCGGGATATTAGGGAGCCCGGCAAGGTGGTGGTGCACCCCTGTAATCCCAGCACGGGAGGTTGAGACAAGAGAGTCGCTGTAAGTTCAAGGCCAGCCTGGGTTTCTTAGTGAGTTCGAGCCCAGCAGGGATGACGATGATGTGGTGAGACTCTGCCTCGAAAATATTCAAAAAGGGATGCCCTGATGCCTAGGGGTGTTATGCCTTCTTTCTTGTTAGAGATTTACAGCCGAGGTCATTCTGGAGCTTATTATAGCAGATCCTTGCAGGGGACCGGTGAGGTAACAGGTGACAGGCTCTCAGACACCCAGCCCCATGGTGGTCCATCAGCCAGAGACCTGCAGTCCTGGTGTCCAGGTATTGTGTGAGCCAGGGTTGGCTCTACTGTGCTGTGGTCCCCAATTCTCACCCAGGTTGCAGGTCAATTTGAAAGGTGGGTAGCTCACACAGGAGTCAGCCAGTGTCTAGGGGTGAGCCCCACATTTTCCCTTGGGGCTTCCAAGGCTGCCCCTGGTTCCAGTAAGAGAAGAGAGAGTCTGGTAGAGGAACCCCAGGGCATCGTCCAAGAGCCAGGCCTGTAAGTCGTGCCTATCGTTTTTGCCCACATTATTTGCAGCATTAGCCACGTGGCCCCGCCTGACCACAAAGGACTCTGGAAGTTATGACTCCTGACTTTCCAGGAAAAAGCAGCCAGTTTGATAACCACATAGCCAACACCCTGCCAGAGAAACTAAGCACAATTCTCCCCCGCCCAAGGCCACAGGTGCCCACATAAGCCCAATAATCGTCATGTTCCAGGCCTTTCCCATGAGCACCAACAGGAGTCAGTGGTGGAGGGGGCCATCGAGGCACCCGGAAGTAGCCAAAGTCAGACTCGAATTGGACTGGGCCCCCACAGGCTCTGGAAGAAATATATTTAAAAAAAAAATTATTTGCAGAGTTTTAATAAACCTGGGTGCTTGTTCTACAAAGAAAAACCTTGCAAAGAACGGAGACTCCAGCTTGTGGACTCCAAAGATGTCTGAGGAAGTGGGGAGCAGCTGTCTCTGGGCCCTCGCTGAGTTCGATCACCTGGCTGTGTCTGTAATCAGTGAGTATGTGGCCGGGAGGGTTCGTGGCAGAGGCATCGCCCCTGGCCAGCGGTCCTTGCCCTGACCCGGGAGCTCACAGCCGGAGGAAATGGCAGAGCTCCCAAGGTGCAGGAGCAGTAAGGGGCCAAGGAAGTGCCCGGGGTGAGGAAAGCTCCGAGTTTTGTGAGATCCGGGCTTGCAGGATCTCTGCATCCTGAGAGTCGGTGGAAGGGCCGGGGACGCGGGATGGTTAGGTCCATTCATTCATCTCCAGGCTCCCACGCTTGACTGCTCCAGACACACACACTGCGGATCCTGCTCATCCCAGCAGGATGACTCAAAGGCAGGTTCTAATGGGGCGCCTGACCCTCTTTATCTTTGCAGGCTCCAGGAAGCCAGGAGCAACTTGAGTGTCCTGTCCTACAGTGGCCCGCCTACCACGGTGACTCACCACTAACCAAGTCTATTTAGAGGCAAGGGTTTAGGGTTTGGGGAGTTGCATTAGTCAGCTTCGTGTTACTATAACAAATACCTGAGATCATCTGTCTGCAGGCCCGCAGTCTTGGAGGTTCTAGTCTAGTTGAGCCTGTGATTGGTCCAAATTCAAGCCTGCTGATTGGTCTAAATTTGAGCCTGCTGATTGGCCCAAATTGGTCAGAAACACAAGCCTTTTAATATGAGCCTGCCAACTGGTCCACATTTAACTCTGCCCCTGTTTCAAATTCAAGGCGGTCCCACTCCCACCCTCCAACAGTCAGAGTGGTCCACCCCCAGAAAGGGGCGGGCCTCCAGGACAGCCAACTGCAGCAGTCAGTAGGCATAGCCCCACCCGGGCCTTAGAGGTAAAGGGAAGAGGCCCTCCACTCGGATCTGTCTCAGGAAGAGGGTTTGAGGGCCGGCCTTTGCAGAACCAGGACTCCAGGGACCTCAACCTTGGACTTCCAGAACTGTGAGAGACCCACACTTCGGGTTAGGTTTCCCAAACACCCTTCACAGCCTTAAGGCTGCTTTCTTTTCCGCGATAATTTTTTGAAATGCACATTCAGTGCTCACAGCACAACTCAGTTCGGACTCACTGCCACTCACGAAGCGGATGTGTGTTGGATGCTGTTACCCATCATCTTGAATCACAAGCTCTAGTGTCCCTTGGGAGGTCGGGAGGCCTGGTAACCTTTGGTTGCTAGGCCTCGTCCCGGGGTTCCTACAGCAGTGACTCCAGCGTTGGCTGGGAGGCTGCGTTCCTGACCAAGGTGCAGGAGAAGCTACTGCTGGTCCGAGGACCACACTTCAAGAACCACAGGCCTAGACCTCTGCAACGAGCAGGAAACATGCTTTTTCCTCCACCTGCAGCCCCTGGAAACCGCTTCTTACTATGATGCTGCAGTGTAAGGACAAGGAAGTGTTAGTGTAGAGATCCACACCCGGATGGATGGAATAAAATGGAAAATCCAGAAATAAACCCTCACACTTTATCATTTGTTTTTTCAGTACTAGGGATTGAATCCAGGGGTGCTCTACCGGTGAGGTGCACCCCCAGCCCTTTTTCACTTCTTTATTTTGACATGGTCTAATTGCCTAAGCAGGACTCTAACTTGCAATCCTCCTGCCTCAGCCTTCCAAGTGCTTTGGGTTATGGGTGTGCACCTCCAGCCAGGCTTGAATCTTGACAAGGACTGGAATATGATTCAGTGGGAAAAAATACAGTCTTTCCAAATAGTGCTTCTGGGACAACCGAATGACCAAATATAAACTAAGGAGTCTGGAGCTGTGCGTGGCACTGTCATCCCAGCATTCAGGAGGCTGAGGCAGGAGGATTACTGAAAGTGAGAAGTCAGCCTAAGGAATATCGTGAGTTCAAGGCCAATGTGACCTACTAACGAGACCCCGTCTCAAAATCCAAAAATAATAATAAAAAAGAATAAACATAGAGGCTACTACACAACCCAGCAATTCCACTCCTGTATATATACCCAAGGATATTAAAAATATATACCCATGGCAGAATTTAAATACGAATGTTGATAACCGTGCGACTCACAATGCCAAAATGTAGAAACAAACTGAAGTCCATCAACTGATGCATAAATTAACAAATTGTGTTCTGGCCACAGGTTCAAATATTCATCAGCCCAAGGAGACAAAGCACTGCTAATATTGTGGGATGTTGAGCCCTGACAATATTGTGCACAGCTCTGTAATTCGGGCACTCTGAGAGGCTGAGGTGGGAGGATCATAAATTCAAGCCCAGCCATAGCAATTAAGTGATTTAGTGAGACCTTGTCTCAAAATAAAGGACTGGGGATGTAGTTCAGTGCAAAGGCGCTGGGTTCAGTCCCCAGGACTATAACAACAACGACAAAACTCCCAAGCCAGCAACACACAAAACTCACGGAATTGCATGCTTCATAAATAAATACACCAAAGAAAGCAGAGGGGAAGGAATTTCCCCAAATCGAATAACGGCCACCTGGCCTGTGGCCTCCTAAGTGGATCCCTGTCCAGAGGCCTCTTCCTCTTCAGGGCTGGAGGTCGCGACAGTGCCAGTCCTGCCAGGGACACAGACCAGCAACACAGCACCTGCCTGGCAAGCGCGAGGTCGCGAGTTTGATTCCCAGTACCAAAACAACAACAAAAACAAACAAAAATCATAACCCGTTTGATGAGATGAACAGTGAGTGTTATCCAAATGGCCAGCAAAAATGTAGGACGGAGGCTCACACCCATTCAGGCTCGGCTGGGATGGACGGAGAAGAGAGCTGGCCCCGCCCACTCGGGGAGGGCTCCGCCACCCCACCCCCACCCCCCACGCCTGCCTTGAGGGTCCTTAGGGGCTTAGGGAGGTCCAGGGGCATTTCCCTTCAGCCCAGCGGGGGCTCCCAGGAGTTCTATCCCCCTAAGGAGTCTGCCAAAGCTCTGATACCCCTGAGGCCTGGGGTTCGGTTCCCAGCTCTGCAAATATTAAAACAGTGATTTTAAAAGAAAAAGAAAGAACACTGCTGTGGAAAATGCAAAGTTAGCGGAGTGGAATAAAGCCGGTTATATCCGTAGCACGGGTGAGTATAAATTGCAGTGACCGTCAGTTACAGACACGTGTGAGCCAGCCTAAATGGACCTCCGAGACAGCACTGAATACAATGGACAAGAAATGGAAATAAAGACAGGCACAGTGGTGCACGCCTGTGATTCCAGCATTCAGGAGGCTGAGGCAGGAGAATCTCCACGTGTTTCAGGCCAGCCTGGCTCCACAGCAAGCCCCTACCTCAAAAAACAAAAACAGAAAGGATCAGGCTAGGATGCACAAACAGAGTTACACAGGTGGAAAGACATCAAAAGTGACACTGAAGCCACTTGGCCCCATCAAGTCAGCCTAAGAGGCCAGTGACGGAGCAGCAGGTAACCAGCCCCCTTTAGAGGAGTTAGGAGGGGCCAGGAAGGCTGGCAGGGAGCTGAGCAGGTCACTTCAGGAGCAGAGCTCTTTTGGACGACTGTGACAGCCCTGTGCCCAAGAGCTGACCTCTGCTGTGTCATTGCAGCGCCCGGGCTGGGACCCAGGACCTGCACGCTGGGCTGGGGAGGACCAGAAGGTTGGCTCCCCTTGAAAGAAGAGCGTTTGGCCATGCCTCTGTGTCCTGATACGTGCAGAGCTGACCCGCGTGTTTCCTGACCCCCTCCACTGGCATTAAGCAGTGCAAATGGGTCCAGCCTTTGGAGCAAGGGACGGGTTCCTGACGCCCTGCCTGTAGTTCCCGACTAACATGAATGAGCTGGGCTGAGACTGAGCCTTGAGAAGCCGTGGCATCTCAGGGCATGGCAGTTACACCTCAGAGCCCAAGCACCGACCCCCAAACACTGGACTCTGTCCCAATCCATGACGTGCAAGTGAGGTGACTCTGCGTCTCTCTCTCTCTCTCTCTCTCTCTCTCTCTCTTTCCCTCCCTCCCTCCTTTCTCTCTCTCTCTCTTGTCTTTCTCTCTATGTATATCCCGCAGAGGTAATCTCAGGCTGGCCTACCTTGCCTGTTCATGGCTCTCCCTCTCACGTACTTCCCGCCTTTCTCTCAGTCACTCAGCCCCGAGCCACTCCCTGCTTCATGAATTAATAAAACCCGGGTTTGGCCCTGGGTTGAGCCCTTCGTTCTGGTGAGCCACTCTTTTGGCTGGACTAGGACCCCTTGGGCTCCCCTCAACTACAAATATGCCTCAGAGCCTTTACTCTCCCCGTGCATCCCCCTGGAAGTGGTGGACTGGAATGACTAGAATTCCAGTGACCTTTCCGTGAGGTTATAAACACGGACTGGACTATACTCTCTGTCCTTTGTCATTTTTTATTTTGAGACAAATTGTCACCAAATTGCCCAGACTAGGCTCTAATTTGCAATCCTCCTACCTCAGCCTCCCAGAGTGCTGGGATGACAGATGTGTGCCACACCTGCCCAGTTCCCTGCTGCTCTGAAAACTTCAGGACCCACAGAGAGCCAGGCATCTGCCCATCCAACACTAATGCCTGGGACAGGGTGTGACCAGGCAGATGCACAGAGATGACGATGGGTGTCAGGTTGCTAGGGACTGGCATGGAGGAGAAGGGGTGTGATGGCTGGTGCACCCACACATCTCATGGGTTCTGAGGGTGCTCCCAGCACTGGCCACTGTGAGGCACCACTTGATTCCCGTCAGGGCTGGTAGTCTCACCTCCAGATGCAGGGCATATGGGTAGCTGCTAATGGGCCACAGCAGTGTATCTTGGGGATGTCATGGTTGATACATTGTGTCAGATTGAAGAGCTTAGAAATTTAACTAAGAGACTCAGCGGGAGCCAGGATCCTTACTTTGTATATATCTTGAGCCTGTGCAAGAGGAGGGCCCAGAGACTTTGTGAGTGCTACACCTGCCCTGGGAGGCGGGGGTGGCCTGCTAACACTATAAAGGAGAAGAGGCTTGCTCTGCCCACCTTCCTCTTTTGCTCCTACTGCTTTTGCTGTCTTCTGCTGCCTTGTCATCCTGCCTTGGAGCCAGCTAACTTTAACTATGTACTGAAACCTCCACAAGATGTGAGCTAAATAAACCTTTCCTTCCTTCATTTTGAGTGTCAGATATTTCATCTCAGCAATGAGAGAAAAGTGACCAAGACACTGGGCATCGAACTCAAGCAGGGAAAAGCTGCCGAGCCCAAAGGTCAGCAGTCCCCAGGAAGGGTCACATCAGATGACCTGCCCCTGGGGAGTGGGGTGCCAAGGTGCAGGTCTCCACCCAGAACCCCCTGAGGGGGCCTCCGGCCTCAGATCTCCGCACTGAGCCTGCAGAGCCAGCATCACAACCCCAACCCCACGTAAGGGCCTGCTGTGTCCTGGCACCCTCCAGCTCTGACCTAGAGCAGCTGCCAGGGGCTGGGGTCTTCCGAGGGCTGAGCTGCTCAGAGTCCGATTGTGCTCTGTCCTGAGTAGGAATAAGCTGCAGTGCAGTGGGCCAGAAGCATCGGCTTCAGCCAGAGGTGTGGCTTGGTTCCTTCTCCTGTCACAGCAGCCCAGCAAGAGAATCTGCAGGAGAGGAGGCAGACAGGACCACCAGGAGTGGGGTGTGTCTTGGAGGGCAGGGAAGACTGATTGGCTACAAAGAGGTGCAAGGAACTCTGGGAGGTCTGGAGTGTGCAGCATCTTGACTGAGACACTGGCTGCACAAATGTGTAGATCTGTCAACTTCATTAAACTAGAAACTTAAGTGCAGCAAACACACAAATAAAAAAGCAAACCAGAGGCAGGAAGCTTGGAATTGAAATGGCAGCTTCAAGTGACAAGGACCTACGTTTCTTTTCTCTTGTTTCTCTGGCTGGCATGATCTTTCTTTCTTTCTTTCTCTTCTTCATCTTTTTAAATGATCTTTATTTCTAAAGTCAGTTCATGACAGGATAGCTGCCAAAGCTTCAGTATTTACATCCTTATTCCATGTAGAAGGAAGAAGAAAGGGAAAGAGCAGCCTCCTTTCTAAACAGAAGGTAAGTGCCACACAGTCCTGCCTGCGTCTCAGGGGCCAGAGTTAGTCACATGGCTACATCTGTCTCTACGGAAGATGTATCAGCTTTCAAAGGGTATCTACACAGTTCCCAATAAACTCAGGATCCTGTTATTAAGGAGCAGGAAGTAAAAGATTACTGGAGAAAATGCAATATTTTGGAAAGATTTCCATGAAAAAATGGTCAACATGAAATGAAGGTTGAACACTCCTAATCCAAAAATCCAAAATCCAGGCTAGGTGTGATGGCGCACACCTGTAATCCCAACACTTGGCAGGCTGAGGCAGGAGGGTTATTGAGTGTTTGAGTCCAGTTAGGGCTACAAGGTGAGTTCAAGGCCAGCCTGAACTACAGAGACTGTATCTCAAAAAGACACACACACACACACACACACACACACACACACACACAATCCAAATACCCCAAAATCCAAAACTTCATGACAGCCGACAAGAAATCAG